GGCCGTGCGCCGGCGGAACGCGGGGAGGTGGGTGCTGGGTGGGGGGGGCCGCGCTGTGCCCGCCCAGGGGCATCCCCTCGGGTGTTCGCGGTAACCGCAGCGGGTTGGTCCTAAGGTGCGTTTGTGCTGAATAACTGCTGGGCGGTTATTTTCAGCAAATACAGGGACGGTGAGTTCCCGTAGCACGTACTGCCAAACCGCGCTGGCGTCCGGCAGTGTGTTGGCACCAGAAATACTGGAGTTTGATAGTTGGCGTGCACTTTCGATAGTGGGCGCGTCGAGGATATGACAGTAGAGAGTAAATATTTAAACGTGCTTAAAATACCTAGAATCCCCTTTTCCATACTCCTTGCACGGCCACAGCTCTCGGAGCTCGAGTGTTGCAGGGTAATGTAGATTTTATTTCTTCTTTTTTTTAATGTAGATATTCTGCATGTCGCTGTTTAAATGGGCAGTGCAGGTGCACGGGGGAAAAGAATTTTCCATTGATGTAAAGATTCAAAATAAAAAATGCCTTTAAAGTTAACATGTTGAAAGAGAAGCTGATTAGGCCAGCGTTAACCCTGGCACTTTGACACGTTAACGACAGCGTAAGCCCTTCGGTAGGTGGGTCGTGTTTTCTGGGTGACTTGCAGCAATGCATTCGGCGCTCAGTTAAAGCAGATGTCGAAGTCTGTGGAATTCTGCTAGGGCGGTTGAAATCCCGCTGCCCTGCCTGTCGTGGAGGCTTTGCAGAAGTGGCAGGGAGGCAGCGCATCCTGCTGCGGTTCCGTGTTTCGCTGGTGACACCCACTTGGGGCTTGGCGTTGCCGCGCGCAAGGGATGAGGCTGCGGTTTGGACGGGGCTTTGCCCGAGACCCGTGCCGATACTAAACATGCGGTTTTAACAACTACGTGTTAAAAACACGGTTTTTTTTCAAGTGAATTTGGGATCTGAAATTCAGACCCTGTTACAAAAATCTTTTCTTTACCTCTTGGATAAATCATGAGGGATCAGGAGGTGGAACTGTGTCACTCCTAACCTATTTTAACTTGACAAAAACAGAAAGGTGGAGAGGCTTTTCTCATAGAAAAGTTGTGGTGCATCCAAATGTCAGTTTTTTAACTCTGCTTACTTACCAGATCTGTGCATAAATCCTGGTTTCTTGAACAACAGAGGCTGTCTCCGTGCTCACCAGGCCCCATTCGGACAGGGCTCAGCTCCAGAAGCACTCTCCATAGCTTTTGTTTCCGGGATGCTCCGTTAGCCCCGTGGAAGCTGCAGTCCCACACTTTGCTTTCTCCACGGGGCCCGGTTTCTTGTGCCTTAAGCAAACTCCTTTTGCGTAAGGAGTTTCACATCTGCAGGTTTCGTTGCGTTGATGCCGCTTTGCACAGCGTAGGCCCCAGAACACCTTTCGGGTGGCGGCAGTCCCTGACCGGGGCTGCTTTGTAGCCAGGTAGCGTTTTGTGCGACCCTAGCATTGCCATCTACTAAGGTGTGTGTGGCTGATGAAAGGCAGGGGAGCACGTTTTCTGTGTGTCTTTCCCAGCAAAGAGGTGCCCAGGATATGTTTGGCGGTGAAACAGTTCCTTGGGAAATGGAATGGAAATAAATGTTGGCCACCTTGGGACACCTGCATAACTCATCTCTGGTCCAGTTCCGCCCTTGGCAGCAGGCGTGCGGTAGCTGCTGTCCTTTTCGGGCGCTGCTTGGGACAACCTGCTGTAACCAGCTGGATGTCTGCGGTTTCTGGCCAGGATAAGTGGAAAGCTATGGTGTGGTTTAAAAACCCAAATCTACCCCTAATCCAGCGGGGAATTTAAAGGAAGGTGTTCTGGTTTTATTGAGGCATTGATAGACAGCTGCAAAGCTCCTGAAGACCTGTGAGGTTACCACAACACTCCGATTCTGTGGCAGCCTAAACTCGTTCTTTGAAAGAAACACACACCTGACCCTCCCACATTTTTTGTATTTTGAGACTCGCTCCTTATATTTGTGTTTAGAATGTGCCAAGGTTGTAGTTTCTGTTCACCTCTCCTTAAATGTGGAGGTGTAGAGGCTCTTTATCCATTCAACACTCGCTCCTTATATTTGTGTTTAGAATGTGCCAAGGTTGTAGTTTCTGTTCACCTCTCCTTAAATGTGGAGGCTCTTTATCCGTTCAACACTGAAATCTCGGCTTACGCTGTAGCCATGTGTCTCCAGGCTGCTGGGATTTACAAAGTGCTGTGACATTCCTGCAAAGGATTTATGGGTCTCCTAATAACTTTGTCAAAATTTATTTTACTTTCTAGACCACGATGAATGTGGAACATGAAATTAGCCTCTTAGTCGAGGAGATTCGGCGGTTGGGAACCAAAAGTAAGTATTATCATTTCTCTGACCATACAGATGTTAGACATGCATGTATGCATGACATACATGTCATACAGATACCATGTAGCATCAGCCTGTGAACTTGGCAAATTTAATTAGGCAGGCTTAGGTAACCTGAGAACTTGCACATATCCTTAATGTTGGACTGTATCGTACTCCCTGTGTCCCATCCTGTAAGTAGTTCTGTTATGAAGTTAAACGTTTAAGCCTCTGCGGTATGGAGGATGTAGGCCTGAAATCATGCTCCCACTAATCAGCCGCAAAACTACTCTTTTTAATCTAAGCTTCCAATACCTGCTACAGCCACCGAAGAAAGTTGCACCTTTTCTTTCCACGCCTTCCTTGGTAACCTCTGAACTCAGAATTTGTACACTTCAACTGCGTTCATCATAGGATTGTTTGGAAGGAATTGATCTGAATGCCTAAAACTAACCCAGGAGTTTTAGGTGTTAGTCCCAACCTTCCTTAAACTTGCTTAGAAGGTAGACTCTTCTCTGAAGATTGTTTTTCATTGTTAAAAGTCCTCTCCTTACAAATATTTATGCATTTGTGGATGTGATACCTGCTCATATATTTCAGTTCTCATGCAATTTCATTCAGTTCTGTTTGTTTTTCAAAGCCTGAATGGATATGGACATCCTGCATATTATAAGACTGCATCTGCCTTTTAGGAATAACTTAGATAAACTTACTTTAAAATTGTATTTTAAAATTCTTGCTTTGTGTGAGAAATGATTTCACATTGCAGCTTTTTCAGTGTGAACCCTAAATATTAATAAGTGAAAAAAATTATTTGGAAAAAAATATTTTGGCATTCTAATAATTTAAAACAGATTTTCTCCTTGTGCTTTGAAAAGGTTCAGTAGCTTGTGCTGGTCATAGGTTTCAGAACGTCATCAGTAAAAATAAACAAAGCAGATATGTGGTCTTTGATATGATAAGTCTGGGAAAGGTAGGAGTTTTGCCTGCAGTTTATCATCAGCATTGATAGTACGTTCCCCAGTAAATTGGGAAGCACCATGGAACGTTTATTTTCAACGTTCTGACTGCCTGTCGCTTTGTTTCCCCGGTAATCTCCTAACTGAAGGAAAATCTGCCTGTGTTTTCATGTTGTATCTTTGATTTAGATGCTGATGGACAAATGAGCGTGAAATTTGGTGTGCTCTTTGCTGATGAGAAGTGTGCCAACCTCTTTGAAGCCCTGGTGGGAACTCTTAAGGCTGCAAAGCGGCGGAAGATTGTCACTTATCAGGGGGAGCTGCTTTTACAAGGTGTTCATGATGACGTTGATATCGTGCTGCTGCAGGACTGATGCAGTGTTTCAGCTATGCATTGATAGAATTGTTTGAAACAGTGACTTGCAACATCCTCTGAATAAGGCTGGTCATTTTAAGGTGTTCTGATGTGTTTTCTATGTCTTTATAGTCAAAAGGAAACACTCCTATTTTGGAAAACATTCCCTTTTGTAATTCTTCCTAAAATGGTACTGTATGTGAGTAAGGTAAAAGGTGCCAGATCTCTCTCTCTCTCTTTTTTTTTTTTTTTTTTTAAATCTCAGGTAATGCTCTCAAATGGCTGGTGGTTATTTTCAAAATATGAAGAAGGGGGACCGGCAATTTAATGTTTACAAATCAAAACGTGCCATGAAAAGTATGAAATAAAAATGCATACTTAAATTTATGCAATCCTTACTGCTGTTGTTTCTCTTCTTCCTTGCAACCTGAAAGGAAAGCAAACTGAATTCCTGTAAGGAGCTTAGTTAAGGAACTGCACAGAAAGCGTGATGGTGAGATAGAAGTAATATTGCATATGATTCAGTTGAAGAATGACCATCCTTCGGAGTGACCAGGCTCTGCACAAAAAGCCACAAATGATAGACATACCTCATTCCTCTCTGGCAGTGCAGTATGCTTGGATGGTTTTTTGTCCTCTGGACTTTTGAGGGAAGTGGCTGAGGAGCTGTTAACCAGAAGGTGGTACAGCAGCCTCAGGTTGTGATTATTTTCCTCACCGAAATCATACTTTCTCTGAATCACTCCAGGCAGAAAGTGGGAGGGGAGGGGGAGAAAAAGCCCCTTTAATTATTTTATAGCTTACTGCTAATTCTTCTTAGCAGGTAAAAATGCTCCCTCCAGTAGAGAGGAAAGAGTTGCTGCATGGGGAAAGCAGCAGTGGGTAAGCAAGTGGCTTCCGGGTTGCAGCTCTTAAAGTTGCAGGATGGGTGAATTTCCTTTTCCTCAGCAGCCTTTTACAAGTGCAAAATGATTGAAAATTGTCTCCTTATTTCCAGATACAGGAAATGCATGCACAGTAAGGGAATTTCTACAAAGATATGTAATTCCAGCTGCTGTCCCTTTCATCCTTGTTTGCTCTGCCTCCTGCAACAGGAAAACAACTTAAATCCTGTGTGCAAACAGATCTGGGCTGCTTCTGCCTGTGCTGGCCCCAGAATCTGGAGAGCAGGGAAGTGATAGGGGGAGAAATGTGAGCTATCTGGGCCCAAGCCAGCTGGAGTGGAGAAGTGGAGCAGGAGCTTAGCACAGCATACTGGCTCCAGTGCCTAGTCCCTCAAATGCGGATATTCTGATTCCAGGCTTGAGCTGACAAGTACCTGCACCCACAGGTGGAAAGAAGGAGGACCAAGACCCAGGCCTTCCGCATTACCGGTGAGACCAGACAGCTCTGCATTACCAGATAACTTAACAGAAAACCACTTGTTTTTTCCTCTGTTGTCAACCCGAGTCGTGGTCTGGGTTCACAGGGTAGCCTGAGTGTGCTGACAGATGCTGTGTGCTTTGTGATTGTCTGAGTGCCAGGTTTGGTACGGGAGGGCACCAGCCTGCCCCAGCCAGGACAGAATTCTCTCTGCATGTTCACAACAGCTTTTTAGGTGCGGAAGGGGCCTCCATCTTGAAAATTTAGGTACCAGTGAATTTAAGTCTCGGTGCTGGGTTGGAGCCGAGATGGGGCTATGAAGAGACCCTTATGTCCCTCTCATTTTGGATTTGTTCTCTTAATGCTCATACCTGTATTCAGGGCTTCTGTGAATACCATGTAGCAAAAAACCAGCAAAACTTGGCACTAAACCAAATCTGCGACAACCAGAGGCGAGTGTGATTGTGCACTGCCCAGGGGAATTCAGAGTTGTTTTCAGACTGTTTCTGAGAACAGAAGAGGAATAACACAAACAAGGATGTATATGCAAGAACATGACCTCAGTGCAACACTTACTGTGTCTGTGTTAAGACTACAATTAAGCCTACACTGAATTGTGTAGGCTTCTTCAGGTTATATACAAGCACTGATAACTTTCTAAATATTTTTTTTCCAGAGACAATCAAGTAGTAACATTGCTTCACATGTGTGGGACCACGCCTCTGTGAAGGAAATAATTACCACAGCAGATGGTTTGGACTCAAGATAGAGTTCACAGAATCTTTTAGATTGGAAAAGACCTTTAAGATTATCAGGGCCCATTGTTAACCTAACACTACTAATACCACCACTAAACCATGTCCCTGAGTAGCATATCCACCTCTTAAATACGTCCAGGCATGGAGACTCAATCACCTCCCTGGGCAGCCTGTTCCAATGCCTGACAACCCTTCTGGTGAAGAAATTTTTCCCAGTATCCAATCTAAACCTCACCTGGTGCAACCTGACGCCATTTTCTCTTGTCCTATTGCTTGTTATGTGGGAGACCAACCCTCACCTCTCTGCAACTTCCTTTCAGGCAGTTGCAGATAAGGTCTCCCCTGAGCCTCCTCTTCTCCAGGCTGAACAACCCCAGTTCCCTCAGTTGCTCCTTACAGGACTTGTGCCCTTCACCACCTTTGTTGCCCTTCTCACCTCAGTGCCTCACCAGTGCCTAGTACAGAGGGACAATCACTGCCCTGGTCCTGCTGGCCACACTGTCCCTGATGCAGGCCAGGATGCCACTGGTCTTGGCTACCTGGGCACACTGCTGGCTCATATTCAGCCAGCTGTGACCAACACCCCCAAGTACTTATCCTCCAGGCAGCTTCCCAGCGACTCTTCCCCAAGCCTGTAGCATTGCAGGGGGATGTTGTGACCCAAGTGCAGGACCCGGCATTTGGCCTTGTTGAACCTCAGACAACTGGCCTTGTCTCATCGATCCAGCCTGGTCTTTAGCCCTTTTATTTTCTCTGTAAATAACCTCAAAACATCTTTGTAGTCTTCCTGAGTTGCCTGCCCCTTCTTCCAGAGCTCATAAACTGTCCTGTTTTTCCTGACTTCCAGCCAAACCTCTCTGTTCAGCCAGGCTGGTCTTCCCTGCTAGCTCATCTTCCAGCACTTGGGGACAGCCTGCCCCTACACCTTTTAGATTTCCTTTTTGAAGAATGTCCAGCCTTCCTGTACCCTTTTGCCCTTCAAAAGGGACTCTGCCAACCAACCTCCTGAACAAGGCTATAGTTCCTGGAGCACTTGACACAATAATAGCAAAGATGACTATGGGGAAGGCATTACCTATTTTTGTAAACAGTAGGACAATCAGTGGTCCCCTGTGATGGGTTCATGACCTTACGAGCCATGTGTCTGAAGGAAGTTTGTAGGTCAGCCAGGAGCACCAGTGACTCCAAAATAGCAAGTCATTCTCCTGACTAATGGGAAGTGGGAAGATATAGAGATCTTTGACAACAGCATAAAAGAGTTGTTAGTTGGACGGTTACCTGCCAATGATAATCTGGGAAATTAGTGAAATTAATGTAGCTAATTCAGTCTCTGTCTAAGTAAGATTTGTGAGCATGGTGGAACCTTGAAGAGAGGTTAGATGAGCTCCAGGCAAATGTAGCAGGTACAATTTAAGGTGTTAGCACTGCGTTGTCTTCAGCAGGGACTGCTAGAGAAAATGATGGAGTGGAGTGTATGCACCCACCTCACCTCAGTTTTTCCCATGCAAAATCCAGTGACTGGACATAAATGTGCTTCTCAAAGTGGTTTTGACTAAGCTGTGAAGGCACTGAGCTGCGGGTTTGTGTAAGCTCCAGTGAGGGGTGGTAGCATCTTAACAGCTATTTCTGTTGTGAGTATAGGTTTTTGCTGGGAACTTGAGCAAAGCAAGGGTTGAAACGTATGCAAGGTTATCTTTTCCATGCCTGTCTTATGTTGGAATGAATTTTGAAAATGCAAGTTGTGTTTCGCTCGTTTCTCATTTCCCCTCCAAACATGCATATCTGTGTAAAGTTGGTTATCTTTGCTTAGTTTCTTTGTCACAAAAACACTTGAATGAAAGAACACGAGTAAGAGGAGCAGGAAGTTCTTACGTGCTGAAACCCGATTATATTACCACTGATGCTTTGCAGTTTTATTTAAAAATAGGTGGATGTTTCAGAAATAGGCTGAGATTCTCTTCTACTCTAGCAGCACAAAGTGACTACTGAGCATGTTTAAGCAGTTGCAGAGCCTTTGCTAAGATGACGCAGCATGAACCAGTGATTGCCACAGGACTGGCCTTATGGGTCCATGTCAAAACACTAAGCATTAATGATATCTTTGTATCACCCCCACCTAGTGTAAAAGAACAGTCCTAAAGGTTTGGTCTACACCCTGCAGCATAATTCATGTTCAGTATCGCCTGAAATTCCTCTGTCTGATAATTTTATGATGGGAATCATGGTTTCAAGGAGTTAAAAAAAACCCCAACACCGAACCCAACATGCATTTCTTTTGGAAGCTGGCACAGTCAATAATTTTGCAAAATTCACGTCCCTGTTCATGTCCTTCTCAAGGAAATATGGGATATTTGCTCTATAATGGATCTTTTTTTCTGATATGTAAGAAAGCGATTCATTCCAAAGTCAACCACAAAGTGTAGAACTAGATATGAACAGATAAATTTGAAGGAAAATTAACCCCTAGACCAAAAAATATGTTTTGGTGTTCTGGCAGCTGTTTGAAACAGGTGATCTGGCTGGGTTGAAAAACATGAGTTTGATGACCCTGTGACATATTTAAGCCTGTATACCTGTCAGGACAAAAGTCAATATGACATACTTTGATTTGCCGTCTGAAAGATGATATATGACAAAATAGTCAAGGGTTTTTTTCTGCTTCCCTACATACCAGTCAATTTTCACTTTGGGAACTGTCCACTAAACTTAGGATAAAGACCTAAAGGGTCCCCTTTGGTGCATTTGTATGTACTGGAGCAAAAGACAAGGATGGAAGAACTGCTTAGTGCTCTCCAATACATGTGGACAGGATCCAAGTCAAGGCTGTTAATGTGACAGGTGATGCTGAAAAACAACGGTCTGCCTTTGCTCAAGGGTCAGGCACGCATTCCAACTTAGATCTCCTAAGAATTTGATTTTCAAGGCAAAGTGTCTTCAGCGTTTTGATCTGAAATGGCATTCTCAAAGAAAATCAATAGCAGGTTGAAGAGTTGCTCCAGTGCAATGATTTCAAGGAATCTGCACGGTCAATATTTCCAGGTACTCCTTTTTTTAAAAAAAAGTTGAATGGGTTA